GCTTTTTTTTTTTTGATACCGGGGTTCAAACTCTGGTCCTTGCACTTGTGAGGCAGGTGGTGGCACCACTGAACTAACCCCCCAGCCCTTTGAGAGCTATTTATGTCAGTCAAATGGAGAATTTCCAGGCCTCTTTGTCCTCAGTTTTTAACTTTTTCTTTTTTTCTTTTTTGGATGTTCGTCTGAGACCCGTCTGGGGAGTACTTTACTCCAAGGTGGGGAGTGGGAGAGGCCAGGACACTCTTTACTTGAGTCCCTTCCCCTGCTGCAGGAGTCGCCATAGTCACCACTCACCTTGATCTTGAGCTAAAGTCCTTTTGCTCAGGAACCCTACGTCATCCACCTCACACCCCACAACTAAGAATGAGCTTTCTGTTTTCAAGTTGTTGAAAAAGAAAAACCGTAAGAAAAACATGATGTGTCATCTGAGAATCAGAGGAAAATGTTGGCGTCCCCAAATAGAGCACCCCTGACCCGGCCCAGTCATTCTGCCACATCCCCTCTGCAGCTGCTTAGCTCAGGCCAGCAGAACTGTGTACTTGCTGTAGAGCCATGTGGCCCAGAGAGGCTGAAAAGCCTACTGCACTGACTTTACAGAAACGTATGTCGGCCCCCGTTAGCCACACAACAATGCCCGGAGAACCTCTGGGGACCCCCTTTTCAGGCAACAATACTGAGGGTTAGGAGATGTGCGGCTTGTTATAGTGCAGCGGTGACACGTGTGTCCCCTTTCCTTCACGGTAAGGCCCTGTCCCGGCAGAGCCCTCAGAGCCCGGCTGCCTGGCCACCGTCCCTTTGACCTGTCTGTCTTCTGCTCTTCTGGCTGGCTCACACCCTGGCCTCTTTGTTAGCTGGGTTCAGGGCTTCCGCCCTGTGGGTCCTTCACTGCAGAATACAGTTCCGCAGATAGCTGTGAGGCTCACCCTCCTGCCCGGTGCTGTCTCAGTACCACCCCAACAGACTGGCCCTAATTGCTGGCTTTGAGATGAAGCATCCTCCTGCATCTCTTCCCTGCGGAATGCTCTCACTGGAGTGCTTTGGGCTTTGTCCAGCCTGCTCTGATTGGTGGCTCTCCTCTTGTTTCTCTTGGTCCTGCTGCATTCTCAATACTGCCACATGTAGGGCACGGCAGACACTTTACACCACTGGAATGAATGAGTGAATAGGTGGTCCTGTGGGTGCCTGTTGCGGGTAGAGTGGGTAGGAGGAAAAGGTAGCTGAGACCCAGACTGGCCTACGGCAAGGTGGCCACATGGATGTCAAAGCCTTGAGTGTGGCTGGTCAGGCACCATCAAGGTAAGCTTCGAACTGGGATGGAACCAGGACTGAAAACCCAGTACAGGTGGTGGCCTCACCACGAACCGCAAGTTGCCCTCATTCTCTGGGTGCTGGCCTAGCCAAGTCCCAGGGAGCCCCCCAGCCCTACCCACAGTGAACTCTCTGTTGGTGAGGAAACAGGGAAGCTCTCTGCATGTAGCTTCTGGTTCACATATGTCCTGGGCATGTGAGACAGACACAGGCTCTGGATCTGGCCTGTCCAGCACCTGTAAAGGAAACAGACGCAGAGGTCACCAGCAAGCTCCATCTGTGACTGTGCCTGGCAGAGAAGGCTGGCTGGACAGGAGGGCCCTGTCGACCTTCTGTGTCATTGTACCAGCCGGGGCCAGGGCAGGGAAACTGAGGCATCAGAAATGGGTGTCTGTGCTCTGAGAAGGGCAGAACCTGAAAATTCTGGCTGAAGCCCTCAAGGATGTGTGCCACACTCTTTGCCAGAGTAAGTCAACGACTCTCCCTCAAAGCCCAGGGAGTGTGGTGCTATTGTGGAGGGAGGTGCTGGAGGTTAGGAGGTTAGGGTCTGCACCTCCATGGTGTCCTCTTCCGACAGGCACAGAGGGATACACCCAACTGCAGGCCCAGTAAGGTGGCATAAGCCTAGGGCACCTGTAGCGATCTGAGCACTGTCCTGGCCCCATAGCTGCCTGTACTTCAGGACCATGGGAAGCTCAGCAGGCCCAGGCCCCAAGGAGTGACTCAGAAGCACGGCTGTTATTTCCAGAATATCTGAATCCCTGGGCTCTGCCCCATTTCAGTCCTTCAGGCAGGGACACATCAACCTTTACAGCCACTTCCCTGAGACAGACCCCTGGATTCTACAGGTATCTTCTGGAGCACTGGGTTCATATCTGGGCTTGCTCTTGAATTGGGCTCTCTCCTCTCTTTCCAGGTGAGCCCAGTGTTCTTGCTATGGTACATGGTTCTACACCTGTCTCCTCTCTGGCCCCAGGAGATACTGAGGCCTGGGGTCAACTGTCCCAGACCAAAGACAGTACCCACCTGGAATTTGTATCTGGGTAGACATTGCCATGTCTGGCTGGCTGCTGGGCAGGCGCAGCCAAGAGGAGCACTTTGTCCCCACTGTGGGTTGAAAGCTGGACCGTTGCACACTGGCTGCTTCCCAAGCACCTGCAGGGCACCCTAGTTCAGGGCAGTGAGTATTTAGCGTGTTGATAGAAAAAGGCAAACATTCAGCTCTGAATGTACTCTATGACCTTGTGTTTCAGGGGCAGGGAGGCTTGCCTTCTTTCCGCCAGAGTGAGTTCAGCTTCTGGGAGCAACAGGCACTTTTGAAGAAGAAATCTCCTGGGAAGGGGAATTTCAGAGCTGTAGCTCCCTCCACATCATGTGATGCATGCTTGTGACCAAGGCAGCCAGCTGGTTGCTGGGCTGGAGGTGACAGCTCTGAGTGCTCTGACAGTTCTGACAGTTCTGAGTATCTACCCAATAAAGAAACAAGAATCCCAGAAATGGGTAGGCTGAGCCTGTGTGTCTGTTTACCTGTCGCTCCTGCTCCTGTATTCATGTGGAAGGACCCACCCTGGTGGCATGTGCCTTCCCAGAGTTGAACTGCAGGCAGGGAAAGGTGTTTTCTGCTTGTGGCACTTTGATGTCTCTCATCTGCAAGGTCGGGCCAAGGCCTATGGAAGTCTCACTCCTGGGCAGAGCTGCCCCTGCCATTTCCTGGAGCTCAGGCTGCTTCCCAGCCAGTCAGCTTGGAGCCTAAGGAGGGGAGGTAGTGGCACCTGCCGAAGTCCCAGATGGGTTTGGGGTGGCCTTGCTCTGCTGGACTGTGCAGGATTTCCTTGCATAGCATTGTGTAGAGCCTCACACCCCAGAGAGCCCCGTGTTAACCAGCATGAGATGTTTCTGGGATGGAGGCCAGACGACTTGACTGCCTGGCTCCCATCTCTGTCCAGTAGAAGGCAGCCCCTTGCTCTGGGTTGCCCTGGAGCTGGGGCCCTGACACATGCAGACTGTCCTATATTCCCAGCAGACTGAAGGGTGGAGGGAAGGTGTGCCCAAACTGGCCTCTAGCTGCCCTGCCTCGCAGGCCCTGGTCAAAGATGGTGACAGGCACAGTGGAGCCTGAGCACATAGCACAGATCCTGAGGAAGACAGAAACTAGCGCATCCCTCCTGGCTGCACATGCATCCTGAGGCTAGAGGTCAGGGTCGTGCTACTACTGCATAATCGCCTGGCCACAAATGTGTCAGTGGAAAGCCACACACTCCTGTCTGCCATTGTCTGTGGATCAGCTTGGGAGAGTGGCTGCATTGTCATCCAGAGATACAGCCTCATTGTGAGACTTGTCTGGAGAAAGAAGCTCTTCTGAGCCCACGTGGCTATGGGCAGATCCAGTTCCTGCAATGGAGGAACTGAAAGTCTCAGCTTCTTGCTGGTGACCTGCTGGGGCACCCTTAGCTCCTTGCCACATGGGTCTCCCAACAGAACCACTCCCTTTATCAAGCCTATGAGGGAGAAAGACTCCCCGAAGGAGGATGCTACAATCTTATGTGACACAATTGTGGATGTATCAACATGACATTTACTATTTTCATTGGTTTCAGGAAAATGACAAGTTCTCACATTCAAGGGTATGAACCCAGGAGGTAGGGCGTTTAGGGCCGCTGACAGTACCTGCCTTATCCTGCCTGTCTCTCTCTCATCTTCTCTGTCCTGCTCATCTTGTAGGACAGATGTTGGGCTGGAAGGCCAGTGTTACAGTTCTCTGGGGACTTGTGCAGGCTGCTATGACCACCCCAGTGATTGTTCCTTTGCAAGTCTCTCTCCTTGCTGGGAGCTGGGAACACTCCCATTCCTTTGGCCCAGAGCCTAGCATAGTGCCTGAAATGTATAGCGACTCAGAATATTTGTGGAATAGGTAAAAGAAACAGCAAACAAGCTCTGAGGTATCTCCAGGGCAGCCAGGGGCCCTTGCTCTAGAGTGGGAAATATTTAAGTTCTGTAGCACTGGATAGTGACAGTGGCTTTTACCTCCCCAGCCTTTGTCCCCCAGGTGTGGAAGGGGAACAATGACAGCATCCACTTCAAAGGCTGTGGTGAGAATGAGTTAGAATAGGTATCTCATCCTGGGTCCATGCTCCAAAAACACAGGGTCATATTTCTGTTGGGGTAGTCACTGAGTGGTCTGCAGTCCTTTGATGCCCCCTTTTCCATGAGTTTTGGACATAAATCCCTCTTGATTGACAGACCAGGGTCCAGAGAGGCAACAAACTGCCTTCTCAAAGCTCAGCTGCACAGGGGCATAGACCTACTCTAGTTGGGGACAATAAGCTGCTGTGCGAGTAGTTGGCTTGGTACCTTTGATTCATCTGGGTTATGAAAAGCTCTTTATTGTGCAAATAGTCAATTTGCTACCTTTGATTTATCTGGGTTATAAAAAGCTCTTTGCAGTGTGAATAGTTTGCTACCTTTGATTCATCTGGGCAATAAAAGGTTCTTTCCCAGATCCTCTCTTTAGAATGGCCCTGTGTGACGGCAGACGGTTACAGGTTCTCTTCTGTGTGGAGGAACTCACTGCTCTTAGGCCTCAGCTTCACAGCAAAGCAAACAAATCGACCAGTCAACCTTGTGCTTTCTACCCTTGCCCTCTTGCAGACACCACGGGATAAAAGGTTATTTCTGGTTGGTTGCTTTCCTGATGTATCATGCTTGGAGAGCAACTTGATTTCAAACCAGCCTATTCCACAGAGCTTCAACTGAGACCTTGATGTGGCCACTGCAGCCCAGAACACATCTGGCAGGTTGATAAGGGTGCTGTCCAAACATGCCTACTGTGGATGATGTTCTGGAGCAGGTTGGGGAGTTTGGTTGGTTCCAGAAGCAGGTTTTTCTGAGCCTGTCCCTGGTTCCGATTGCCTTAGCCCCCATCTCCTTGGGCATCGTCTTTCTGGGCTTCACCCCGGATCACTGGTGCCGGAACCCAGGGGTGGCTGAACTGAGCCAGCGATGTGGATGGAGCCTGGCTGATGAACTCAACTATACAGTGCCGGGTCTGGGGGCTGAGAATGAGGCTTTTCTCCACCAGTGCATGCAGTACGAGGTGGACTGGAACCAGAGCACCCTCAGCTGCACAGACCCTCTGTCCAGCCTGCCAGACAACAGGAGTCGCCTGTCACTGGTCCCCTGTCAGCATGGCTGGGTATACGACATGCCTGGTTCCTCCATCGTAACCGAGGTAAGACCGCACTGTGCATTTTGGATGATGTGGGTGTCTGAAGAATAGGATGGACGTAGAGGTTCGTACTTACAGTTTACTTGGCAGGTGCCAGGCTTAGGTCTCCTTCCTCCATTCTCCCCTTCCCTTAGTGGTTTCAGGGTCAGCACATTTAGGACTGTCAGTGGAGGAGCCCAGCGTCCGCTCCTCTCAGCCTGAGCATCAGCAATCTGCCTGTTCACTGGGCAGAGCAGTTGCTGGGACCCCTGGCTTTATATGTTGTGAACGGACATCTGGTCCCCATGGAATCCTTCAACAATGAATCAACAGACTCACCCTCCAGGGATGCCCAACTCTGTTGGAATCTAGACACGGGCCAAGCTTGGGGCTCTCTCTGGAAATGAGACATCCTCTGTTGGAAATGATCTGATGCAACCATTCATTCATCCATTCACCCATCCATGTGTTCATTAAGGATGTCCCAGCTCCCCTGTGCCCTAGCATTCTGGGTGATACTGCTAGTGACAGAGCAAAGAGCTGCAAGGTCCCCTCCAGGAGGCTGCAGTCTTGCAGTGAGAGCAGAGGGGTGATAAGAGAACCAGAACTCACACAGTGGCAGCCTGAGGCCATGTGGTGAAGCTGGGAGCAGAGCATGGAGGGGCTGGTGGACTCTGGGGCGGGGGCAGCATTCAGATGAGCGGATCATGGGTGTCTTTGTGAGAAAGTGCATTTGAACTAAATGTTGGGTGTATTTTGACCAGCAAGAAGAGGGAACAGATGGAGTAAATCCCAAGTCCAGGCCCAGGGTCAGGGAGAGTGAACTTTTGCTACTGTTAGATGTTGCTAAAATGATTTAAATTTAGAGTTGTTAGAGGAGTCACACAGGAGACTGTTTGTAGTCTCTCACCTTGGGGTCAAAATATGGAATCCTGAAGGTCACTAGATAAAGAATAGGATCCCAGTTAAATGTGAATTTCAGAAAATATAATTTTAAAAGGATAATTATGTCCCAGATATTATATGATATTATATGCTCATAGCTGGGCCTGGCTTTATGAATATGAATACTACATGGGTTATGTGTTTGGGTTTTTTTTCTGTACCAGGGATAAAACTCATGACCTTGTGCTTGCAAAGCATGGTGCCACTGAGCTAAATCCCTGGCGCTGGTACTTTATATTTTTATTTACTAAATGTGGCAGCCCTGCCTTAGTGCCATATGAAAGTTTGGTCTTATCTAAGTGAGGAGCAAGGCAATTCTAGCTGGACCTGGTGAGTGGTTGTTTGGGTTTTTTTTCTGTACCAGGGATAAAACTCATGACCTTGTGCTTGCAAAGCATGGTGCCACTGAGCTAAATCCCTGGCGCTGGTACTTTATATTTTTATTTACTAAATGTGGCAGCCCTGCCTTAGTGCCATATGAAAGTTTGGTCTTATCTAAGTGAGGAGCAAGGCAATTCTAGCTGGACCTGGTGAGTGGTCCAGAATCAGAATTATGTTGGGAGTGGAGGTTTCATAAGAGGTAAGAAGATGCATGAGGCAGCCAAGAAAAGAGCCCAGGTGAGAAATGTCAGTCAGCATGGGTGTCATGGGACCAAAGGCATCATGCTGTAAGAGGTACAAATACTGAATGGGTTAGGGAGAAGGAGGACCCAGTTTGGCCAAGGGTTCATGGCCAAACTGGGTGGGGGGCAGGCAAAGGGAGCTTGTGAGCACTGGGTGGGGACCCAGGAGAAGTAGCAGCCTGGATGGGTGAAGAGGTGGTGGCCTATGGCAACAGGAACAGAAAGCAGGGTGCACATACAAGAGGATGGAGTGTTCTGGAAGCGGTTGGTTATGAACAGATGACCCCAATAGTTAGAAATTTGTTGAAGATTTTGGGACTCTTGGAACTGTTCTTGGCAAGCCTCATGAGGAGCAGCTGGTCATAGGAGAAAAAGGTTCCACTGGCTGTGTTGGGTTTGAAAGACAGCAGGATGCATTTGGAAATATTTAGAAGTTAATAGAAGTGTGGGGTGAGGTAGGGTAGAAGGGCAGTAGAAGTCAGCTCCTGGACAGATGTCAACTTGCACTTTAAGTCTTCCAACTACTTTCAAACTGTCTTTGCCCTAATCTTTATGTTAAAGTGGAGATTACTATTGGAGAATGAAGGGCAGTTATTTATTTTTGCAGGACTAATTTTTAACTTAGCATTGCCTTGGACATTGGAATTTGCTTTAGGAAGGAACATGAACACCGTGGTTTCAACACCAAGTTCTTTACCCCGCCCCCCCCCCATATACATGCACACCTCTAAGGCTTCGGGACTGGGATCAAGTGGCTCCGTAAAGAAGGAATGTGATATTTGATGGATTCTGACTCCCCTCATGCAGAGGCCCTGCTCTAATTGCCGTGGCTTCAGCCACAGCCCCATACCAGGCTAGGGAGCCACTGGTTTCCAAACACTGCAAATGTTGCGCAAGAGGGAGAGGTCTCAGACAGAGGTGAGGTAAGGTGGTCACATCTATGTTTTCCATACTTGCCTGGTTCCAGGAGTCACTTGCATTTCCATTCACGACTTACTGAGCAGAATCCCCTGAGAACAGGTACCTAACAAGGACTCTGGGAGATTCTTGGAATGAGGTGAGTTGGTAAACATTGGTCCTATTGCTTTGTATACTGGGCTACAAAGAGTTGCCTCAGCCCTGGCAGAAGCAGTAAAGGAGCCCAGGAAACTCCCCTCTCCTCTGCCTTGTGCAACCCAGCTTCTCTATGGGGTTGAGCCTGTTTTCTCAGGGTGCACATTTCTGCCCAGGATATAGTGGTTGGGCTCAATTCAAGATTGGGAAGGCATAGCAAGGTTGCAAGCCACGCAGGGCACAGTTAGTCCTCTGTGGATGGTAACAGTGGGAAGTGAGGCAGAGATGGGATGCATGTCCTCTGGTTCAGGGAGCTGTCTGGCTCCATACACCATTCTCCAGGGCCTCACAGGAAGGGACAGAGCAACATGTGGTGACGCTGACTTGAAGGACTGGAGTGAAAAATTAAAGAACAACAGTGAAGAAGGGGACAAGCAGTGCTGGGGATTTAGTTCAGTGATGCCACCGCCTGTCTTATAAGTACAAGGTCCCGATCCCTGACACACACACACACACACACACACACACACACACACAAGAAGGGGACAAGATGAGGCCCAGGGTTAACAGTTCCACATACCTCCGCACACTCAGTGACTTTGCTGATATACAGGACATTATCCTGGGTGATATGAGCAGACACTACACAGAAACAGTTGGAGGCAGATCCTGGGAGAGCCAGACAACACCCTGGAATGATCTGCCCCACATGCCTTAATAACAGAGCACAGCAGCGGCGGGAAAGCTACAGGTCTACAGGCTACACAGGGGCTTGCTGAGTTGTGGCCTGGGCAACACTTGCTGGGAAGGTGTGTTTCCAGCGAATTTTACAGGAAATGAACTTTAGGATTGATGGAGGGGATCAGCAACACTCTGAGCAGTAGCTTGTCACCTGCCCGGGGGTGGCAGTGGGGCATGGGCTTGAGATAGTTGACAAGGAGTCTCCTATTCATCCCTAAAAGTCAGGGGATGACGTAGTCACTCACCAGTGTTTCAGGAAAACAAGGTGCTCCTGTCGAGGAACTCATCTGTAAATCAGACTCCAGGCTGGCTGAGATCAGAGTCTTGGAGGCTGCAGGGATTTGACCCCTAGTGCCAGGACAAGGACAAGGCTCAGAGTAGCACCATTAGGGATCTAGTGGTGGGGACATAAATCTCAGTTTTTAAAATCAAATGGCTCATTATTTAGCAAAATTGTCTTCACATGATTTCTCATCATCAGTGCTCACAGCGGCTTTGGAATGTGACGGGACAGGCACCATATACATGCGCCAGGCAGGGAATCTAAAGCCTAACGTTGCTAAACAACTTGCTGACAGGGTCCTCCTGGTTAGGTGGAACCATAAATCAAGAGCAAAGAGAGCAAGGCCAAGAGATAGGAAGGGAAGGAAGCCCAGGATGGGGTGTGCCCAAAGTGGGGAGGGGGTGAGAGGCCACAGCTCCGCCGGCCCATCCTTCTGTTCCCCCAGAGCCTTCTGTCCGCCTTGTTCAGCTCTAAAGAAGTGACCTCGCAGCATGCCTGGGCCTGTGCTAGGGCCAGGGAATCTCCCCAGCCTGCTTGTCTTCCTCCAAGTCTCTGCTTTTCCCAGCCCCACACTGAACAGGCCCTGCTCCCAGTCCATGCCCTCGTCTTCTTCCCTGTCTCTTCCCTAGGACCCCTCCCCTCTCCCGGCTCTTGGCACCAGGGGCCTCTGAGTCTCTTCCCTACTGCGTGCTTCTGGAGGGCCAGCTACCTCCAAGATGACCCCAGTGTCACATCTGCCTTTGCCCTTGCCACTCATAGCTCTACCAATCATGACAGAATGTCTCCAATTCTTGGTGAAATCAATTTAATTAAATTATTATTTAATTTGTTGATTAAGTTTAATTATATAATTAGTTATTTAATCACTAAATTATTGTTTAAATACAGAATAACTAATATGTAACAAATGAAGGATCTTTGACCAACCCTGGAGAACATGTTATAGTTCTTAGTTTCGGGGAAAGTACTTGGCTGTATTTGTTTTTAGATAACTTGCCTGGCAGCCATGTCTCCCTTGAGAAGATTTGTCTAAGCTTATGCTCCCTTCGCCAAAGACATTTCTTCCTGTGACAGCCAGCTGTCAAGGACAAAGCACTTGATAACAGCTGCTTTAATTAATACCTAAAGAGGGTGACTCCAAGGTGTTAGAAATATGTTCTATTTACTGAGTGTCACCAGCAACCTTAAACTGTGTCTTAGGAAAATGTAATAAAAGTGGGTGGAAGTGTTGGGAGACACCAGGTTTTATATCAGCTGTTTTCCTTGTCTGCGGGAGGAAAGAAGCATAGGATCCGTGCTAACACATGGTTCTGTGTTTCCGTCCTTCCCAACATGGTGTGGTGGCAGTTTAACTTGGTGTGTGCCAACGCCTGGAAAATGGACCTCTTTCAGTCGGGCCTGAACTTGGGCTTCTTCCTTGGCTCCCTGGGCATTGGCTACATTGCAGACAGGTATGAGAAGGCTGGGCCTGTCAAACACACCTTCCCTGCTGTGAGGACCAGAGCTGCTGGGTCAAAGGCGGAGAACGTGGTGGGGGAAATCCACTGAAGAAGGTGGTGGGGATGAGACGTGGTGGCCACTCTTGGGACCTCTGTGGGATACAGGGCAGAGATAGGTGGAGAACATGGATTATACAGTGGTGAGGGCAGACAGACTGGGGAGTAAACCACAATTTGGGGAGCAGGGTCATTTTGACGGAAGGGGTGAGAACAGCTTGTGTCACGGCAGTTCATGGGGAAGGACTTGCGGAGGAAGCTGGGGCTCCATCCCAGATGACGGCCATTAGGAGATGTGCTAGAGTAGCCTCGAACCCACACAACAGTGGTGTCGGGGGCCAGTGGGATGTGCATATCCAACCCCCATTCCCTGCTCTTGCCTCCTTCTCTCTGCAGGTTTGGCCGTAAGCTGTGTTTCCTGGGGACAGCCCTGGTCACTGCTGTGTCGGGTGTGCTGACAGCAGTGGCTCCAGACTACACATTCATGGTTCTCTTCCGCCTGGTGCAGGGAATGGTCAGCAAGGGCGTCTGGATGTCTGGCTACACCCTGAGTAATTACATGTGGGGCTGACATCTCCTGGATAAATGTAGGACGGAGGTCAGGAGGCAGGGTCAGAGGGGACAAGATGAACATGAAGGTGAGGTTTTGGGGACAGGGAGGTTTGCAGTGTCTACAGAAATGAGGATAATTAGCCAGGTATGGTGGCACCCACCTATAATCCTGCAGTCCGGGGGGCTGAGGCAGGAGGATCACATGTATGAGCCCAGCATAGGTAACTTAGTGACTCAGCGAGACCCTGTCTCAAAATAAAAAAATACGAAAGGCTGGGGATGTAGCTCAGTACAAAAGTTTTAGGTTCAATCCTCAGTACCAGGAAGAAAGAAAGAAAGAAAGAAAGGGAAAGAAGGAGAGATGATAGTTAATTGTATGTGTGTAGGCAGGGCCCACATGAGGCAGGCATGGATTCCTTTTCTTAATACTGCAGTTAGTAGAGTCAGGAGGTAGTGCAGGACCTGGACACATTGAGAAAGTATTTTGACTTTTAAAAATATGAAATAACCAGAAACTTCTTCAATGAAAAAAAAAAAAAAAGACAGCCTATTTGAATGACGTTCCAGAGTTAGGAGACAGAGCACAAGTGGAAAAAGAGAGAGATAGACATCATGATTTTTTAAAAGTTGAGGCATAAACCAACATGGGTAGCCAGTAGCCTATGTATTAGTCGTTTTCATTTTTCACATACTCTATGAAGGGTAAGAAAACCGCAGGAACTCCCTTCCTGGAGAAAAGTAGTGTAAGAGATGTTCATACTTTCCCCAATCCATGAACAGGGCACATCAGAGCAGGGAGGAGAAGCTACATTTTTGCGTTTTGGGGAAGAGAAAAGAAGCAGTCTTACTGGTCATTTCTGAAAACAATGTCCTACTGCTTGGCTCTCTGAGGGCCAAGGGAAACCATGTTCCTGTCTTGAGGAACAAGAAACTTGTTCACTTGCAGATCCCAGTTGAGGACAGAGCCCTTGCAACACAGCCGTCCTGTCAGCTGCTCAGGCTGAACGTCTTGACGTCGACCTCACTGCCACCTCTTTCCTTCCATGCCATCCCATCTCCAATCCATCAGTGAATCCTGCTCTTACCTTTATTTTCCACACACACAGAATTCCACTCCCTCTATGACCTCTGCTGGTCCGAGCCTCTACCAAATGGATCCTCCAGGTGCATCTGAAGTTGATTCTTGACTCAGCTGAAAAGTGAGCCTTTGGAAGCAGAAATGGCAGGTGGCTCTCTGCTGCCCACATTGGCTCTGTGTCATATGAGAAAGGAGGACAAGATCCTTGTAATGTCCTCTAATCCCTGCAGGGTCACAGCCCTGTTGCCCCTCTGAACTCAGCCCCAGTCATCTGCCTTCCTTTGCAGTCACACCTCGAGCCACATGAGCCTCCTTATAGTCCCCCATCCTGGAGCACATTTCCCCTGTCACCTCCTGACTCTTCCACCTTTGCTCCATTCCATCCATGTGCCTCACCAGCTCTGTGTAGAACTGAAACCCTTCTGACCCCCAGGCTCCTGATTTCCTCTCTGATCTGAGCTTCAGTTCTCCACAGAATGGAGGACATTCCAACAGCATATGACTTAGAGGGTACGATCAATAACTACGGTGGCTGTTTAATTAAAACTTCATTACAATAAAAGACACATTGCCATTCATCTTCCTTGAAATACTCCCCCTCATTTTGAACATAATTGTCCCATCATTCTTGCCACATTCTGAAGCAGTTCTGAACATATGGTACCAGATTGAGTGACTAAGGTGGATGAAGACACATTGTTTCTATTTGACAGAAATTATTGTAAATGGTTGCTCAATGTAGTGATCACAAAATATGATGAATATTTAAATTAAGAAATTGTATTACAGTAAAAGACCTTGCCATTAATTCCCCTCAGAATACTCAAATAGCTCACCTTGCTTTGAACACACCCTGTTGTTCTTGGAAATATGTCTTTTATAGATTAAAAAAACAAACAAAAAAAAACCGTTCACCGTACTTTTTGATCACCTGTATATATCCATTACACGCCCTGGCTGCTATCTGTCAGACTGTGAGGACTCCTATATTTTCACTGTGTTCTGAACACAAGAGCACTGGCAGGGGCCCAGGAGGGGCTTGGAGATAAGCTTACTCTGCAAGGGTCCTGGAGCTTCTCAGGCAGGCTTGAGGAGCAGAGGCTGGGCCCTGAATCAGGACAAGGGGAAACATGCATGGCATGATGGGAGACAGAGAGAGGACAGGTAGAGGAAGTCAGGCAATAGTACAGTCTGAGTCTGGGGGTCCGTGCGGACTGGTATTAAGGGTGGGGGAGCCAGATGCCAGCAGGTATGGTTTGGGGGAGGATTCACAGGACCATTGAGTATGTGTGGCCAGGATGGGGACAGGTGGGGACAGAGGATGGATGGACACGCATCCCTCCCTGGACCTCACATCTGCTGGGAGATGCATGGTGACCATGTTTCTGTTTCAGTCACAGAATTTGTTGGCTCAAGCTACAGAAGGATGGTGTCGATCCTGTACCAGGTGGCCTTCACAGTGGGGCTGGGGGTGCTTGCTGGGGTGGCATATGCCATTCCACACTGGCGCTGGCTCCAGCTGGCTGTGTCCCTGCCCACTTTCCTGTTCCTGCTCTACTACTGGTAATACTACCTTCCTGTTCCCTGCCTGCCATTCACGGGACTAGGTTCTGTGGGGTGGGGTACCATGTGCACCTGTACCCCATACTAGCCACCTCGAGGGGCCTCGGCAGGCACACACATGTGGCACAGAGCTGCTTCCAAAGCCATGCCTGCTACTGGGCCATTTATATGCTGCCCAGAGACCCTCCTGATGAGGGGAGCATCCTCAGACAGAGACTGCTCAGAGTCACACATGCCAACCTGCCTAGACTCAAGTTTTGCTAGAAGCTGGACAAAAGCCCATGCATGACAGGGCTGGATGTCCACCCCAAAGCCTGAGAAGTGCACCTTCCAGAAACAGGAGGCCAAAGTGACCACAGAGACACTGGCCTTGGTGGCAGCCTCATGCCTAGATGCAGGAGGCAGATTTGCAGGTGTTGCCAACAATCCGGGAAATCTTGGAGCCAATCCAAGTGTCCAGTACAGGCAAGAGGCTCAAGAGGGATTGTTTTACCACACTGGCCACCAGAGGCTCCTCAGTGGTGAAAGCGTAAAGTTAGATCTCACTTTGTTACTTACTTATATCTCTCCCACTCTTCTCTCTTTTCTCTCTCTTCTGTCCCCTGCCCTCCTACTTCATTTTTAGGGTAATATTGCTATAACATGGCTCAGATATACCTCTCATTTAGCCACATATTTGTTATTTGGTTGAATTTATGAGTGAGAGGGCTCCTCATATTCTTTAGAGACAAGGTGCATGGAGCCATTATGGAACAGAACCACTTAACTGAGGTGTTAATCTTAATACCTGTGAGCTCATTGCAGAGTTTGAAGGGCTAAACATCTGTGGGTGACACTAGGGTAGACTCGGGCTCTCTAAAGGAAAGCTGGCCTCTTAGTGTGCGTGTTCACAGCCTGCAAGTTCAGAAGAAGCCTGCCCCTCCTGGTGAAACAGAGGGGTCCCCGAAAAAAGGACACTCAGGGCTAAGTGTGAGTTTCCAGAAGATGCTTGTGCCAAAGTCCCAGTCTCTAAGTTTCAAAATCCCTGCCTCATTTGAAATAGACAGCATGGTGTGCGGTTTTAAAGGAGAGTGAATATATTATATTATTTTGCTTGGGGGATGTTGTGGGAATGGAGGGTGGCACCTGGAGCATCTACTCTGTGCGGCTGTATTCCCAGGGGACAGGGGCTGCCAACTTTCAGGAACGATGGGCCCCTGCTCCATAGAAAGAAGACAACAGGGGCAGCTGTAGCTTCCTCTTCTCTGTACATCTTAACAGGTGGCCCTGAGCACGAGTTGACAGCTCTTACGAGGGCCACCCAGGTCAGGTCACATTGAACGTGGACCTTGTCCACCAGCTGCTTGAGGAATACGTGTCAGGCTGTGTGCGGCCGAGCACTGGTCAGGATTTAATGTCGGATGGCTTCTGGGGAAGATGCATTCTGGTGATGAGCTGTGTCCACAGGTGTGTGCCGGAGTCACCGCGATGGCTGTTATCACAGAGGAGAAACACTCAGGCAGTAAAGATCATGGAACACATTGCTCACAGGAATGGGAAACCACCTCCTGCCGATTTAAAGGTGATGGAGCCAGTACGGAGGTCCTCGTGTCATGGGTTTGGGGTTGGGTGTGTGTTTTGAAAAGTGTCTCGGGGCTGCTGTGGGAAGCAGTAGAACCCCGCTCACCTCTGGCTATGAAGCCTGGTGGTGGCCATGGCCCACCCAGGGCTTCTCCCCGAGGAATCGATTGTCCTCCACAATTGGGTGAGGTGTTGCTCTGACTCCCTCTCAGATGCTCTCTGTGGAGAAGAATGTGATGGAAAAGCTGAGCCCTTCGTTTGTGGACCTGTTCCGCTCGCCAACCTTGCGGAAGTACAGCTTGGTCCTGATGTACCTGTGGTGAGGGACCTTCCCTGCATGCCCGCAAACCTTCCTCCTGATGCACCTGGGTGAAGGTCCCATCCTACATGCTCCCACACCTTGGCACCCCACCAGTGGAGAGCGGCCCTTCTCTGCACCCCGGGGCATCCTGGGCTCATGTACTGCCAAGCATGGGTACAAATGAGGAATTGTAGCACTGTCGTTGCATGCTCTAAGTATGCTAAAAAAAAAAAAATCTTATTTCTCCCTTGGGGACAGAATACTGGGGAAAGACTCATTTCAGTGCTTATTTGTTACCTGTGAAAGGTCAACAGTAACAGGATTGGAAAGAGCCATCCCTTTACTTACTGTCTCCATGACTCCTGAGACCCTCAAGGAGGAAATTTCCTTTCTTAACCTGAAAACCCAGTGGAACCACTGGGAGCATCTGTGCATCCCTGATCCGTTGGCTGGAAACCTCCTATGCAGTATGGATTCACCTTGCCCACTCCAGGGTTCTGTGTCCTCCTCCTGCTCTGATAGAAGGAATCCTTTACCTATCCCCTCAGGACAGAGGGTCAGCTCCTCCATACAGGCTGTGTCTTCAGAATAAAGCTATTCTTAAATAATTCTCCCAACACCCAACGGGTTTGGCAGAGGGACCCTGCACCTCCCCCAAGGATGAGTCAGCTTTGCTTCCCAGTCATAGGCGTTTACACCAACACAGAAGGTTTTATTAGAACAGAGTTGCACTAGGAGGATGGTGTCCAGCACAGAGTAGACCCTCAGTAAATATTTATTGACAGTTGAATGAATAACAACTGTTCCACAGAATCCATCCAAGTTCTTTAGGCACCAGGGTTGCTGTGCCCTGTCCTGCCTCACTAGTTGCCCATCCCTCTGCTCTCTTTGTGCCCTGCCACAGGATGACCCTTTGCAAGCCCCTCATGTAGCTGGTAGCTTTCTGTTGACACTCAGCATTCGGCCCAGCAATATCTGCACAAAGGGCCTGGGGCCACTGCTGCAAAGAGAAATGACGGCTCACCTTCCTGAAGGGTGTGGTTTTCCTCTCCACCCCGACACACTCCTCCCAAGAGGGCGTTTTCTACTCTTCTGTCCTCTTACTAATCCTTCAATAAATTCTGTCAGCGCAGTCTTGACAATGTCTCAGAGTCTTCCTCTTGTCACATGCACGTAGTTCCCCGTGGAGCTGTGGGCGATTTCTCTGGTCTGTTACCACAGGAGCCTCTGAGATGGTCTCTCTGTGTGCAGTGCTGCCTCCAGGCCCAGCTCACAAGGCGGGCAAAGCCTGTCACTCCCTGCCCATCCCTCCCATGAAAATAAGCCCAGTTCCTTTCTGTGGGCCGCAGGACTTTTCATGAGCTAGCCTTGGACACTGCCTTCTGTCCCCCTCCCCTTCCACCTGCTGCTTCTACCTGGAACCCAAGAGACCTGCCCATTGCTTGCTGGTGGTGACCTTCAGAAAGCGCCATCATTCCTTATTAATTAAAATCTCATCATGCAATGTAAACACTGATATGATTATGAAATGTTTGTACCTTCCAAAATAATAGAGCATCACATCTCCAAAAGAGATACACAGAACTCCTTATTTTTTGGCATTTCTGAGAATTGAACTCCAAACGTATGCATGCTAAGCAAGCTACACCCTCAGCCCAGGAACCTCTAAAACTTGTTTGTGTATTACTGGGGGTTAAACCCAGGGGCTTCACACTGAGGTACTTCCCTACCACACATGTCCTTATTATTTTGAGACAGGCTTTTCTAAGTTGCCCGGGCTGGACTAGAACTTGCTGTCATCCTGCCTCAGCCTCCCAGAGTGCTAGGACTATAGGCATGCACCACCAAGCCCAACAATTTTTACTTGACCCAGTGATTTAGGCCTATGTGTCGTATTCTGTAATATTGCTATGTTTACCTCAAATATGGGTGTAGGGTGGTACAGTGAAAGAAGAAAATAAGAGAACAGTTCTGGTTAAAGACAGCACTATAAGGTGGAGGGTGTCACTGTGGGGTCCGGGAGACTTGGCCAACTTCTCCTTCTGCTGTGCTTTGCAGAAAAATGATGATGGTGAAGGCCATAAAAGCTTATCTTTACTGAGCGCATGTGGTGTGCTGGGAACCATAATAGACACTTTTGCCCATTAACTCAATGAATACTTAAGACAAACCAGTGTGGTATATACTGTTATTATCTCAGTTACAGTGACAGGAGTAAGGCCTGGAGAGAGGTAAGTTAACTTCCTGAAGGTCACACAGCTTATAAAGCAGCTTCACAACTGAAGCCTGCTTGCTCCCCTACTGCCTTCTCCTGCCTTCCTCCTTGGGGGACTGTTGGATGAAGAGGAGGTTCTTCCTAGTGTCTGACACCTAAGTGTGTAGTGTGCACAATAGCAACCCTTGCTTTCCTTGTGCAGGAGTCTGTGGGATTGTCCTCTAGGGCACACTCTCACCTCTATAGTGGAAGAACTTTCTCATCAAGGCCCCTCCTAGGACCCCCTTCCTGATTCTTAGCTCTCCCCTTTTGTACTGCTCTGGGACATTGTGTATCTGTCACTTCTGCTTCTGTTCCTTTCCCCCCAGCCAGCCTCTGACCTACATTTCTCCTCCTGGCCCAGGTTCTCCTCTTCTGTGCTGTACCAGGGCCTCATCCTGCATGTCGGGGCCACCGGGGAGAACCACTACCTGGATTTCTTTTACTCCTCTCTGGTTGAATTCCCTTCAGCCTTCATCATGCTTGTGACCATTGACCGAGTGGGCCGAATCTATCCTTTGGCTGTGTCCAATCTGGTGGCAGCAGCTGCCTGTTTAATCATGATTTTTATTCCACATGGTGAGTTATCAATTTTCCAGGGAATTGAATTATGGGAAAAGTGCTGTAACTCATTTCAGCTTTCATTGATAAGCTTTTAGAATAAGAAAAAGACATGGTGTCACTTTTGCCTATAATTTTTTTTTTTTTGCAGTATTGGGGGTTGAACCCAAGGTCTTCACACTGAGCTACATCCTCAGCTCTCTTTTTTTGAAATTTCTAATTTTGAGACAGGATGTGGCTAAGTGCTAAGTTGCCCAGTCTGGACTATGTCATTCCTGGTGTGTGTCATCAGGAATAGAGTTGTGGGTGATATCCTGTGTGTGTCACTGGTGGCCATGTATTCTTGATTTCCTTGGGTATCCCTTGCTGGATCCCTGGGGGTACATAAGTTTGGCTTTATTTTTTAACTTACTTTTTAAAACTTAATTTGATTCTTCTTCAATAGACTCTGACAGTTTGCTCAAAGCAGTTGGGCCGTTTCACTCCCCTCCCCCAGAGACACACGACAATTCCATTGACCTCACCAACATGTGGTATGGCAAGTCTCTTCAGTACCAGCCATTTGGTGGATGTGCAGGCCGGTCTGTAGATCTTAAGACCCAAGAGAATCCAAGCTGTGTGTAAAGTTAAAGCAGATTCCCTTTTGTCAGTTTGCATTTGGGTACATAATTACTTTTCATGCTTGTTGCCTTTGGAAATGTTCAATAAATACCAGGCAGATTTGCTGTTTTCTCCTTTGTTTTAATCACTGTGCTTTGCACTTGTTGGCTTAATGAGTCATTTTGGCAGGCATATGTGCAAGGGGCTGTGGAAAATGTCCTGTGAGATCTGTGTTCTCCAGAGCTGGGCTGGAAATACATTGGCAGAGAGAAGACAGCTCAGTGGGGGAGGACAAAGTAGACAAGAAGAGGGGCATAGCGAGTCTGGAATAGATTCCCCCTATTTTGTCTCCAGTCTCCTGTTTCTGGACTCCCAGGGAATATGTCACGAACAGCAGATTTCAGAAATTAACAGCCCCAATGCTGGGAAGGAGGGTGCCAAGGCCAGCAGAGCTCAGGCATTGTCCTTCAGCACCCTGCATTGCTCCTGCACGCACCACAGCCCTGGCCCGGTCCTCATATTCTGCCGCTGTCACTCATTCCTTCCAGCGGTGCCCATGGGGACAGGGCTGCCTGGACCCCCAGCTAGAAAAGACCCTCACAGCAGCCTGAGACTCTAATATTTTGGTTGGAAATGAACATTAGGCTGAGGAGTGGTTCAAGAACTACTGCAGAAGGGAGCTGTGTTTGTTATCATACCTCTTATGTTTCAGGCACTGTGCTGGCAGTGACACAGTTGTATCATCATTAAAACACCAGCCTTTAAATTCTGTGATTCAGGGGGGCTTTTGTTGCATATCATTTCTAAATTTCATAGCACCCTATAAGCTGAGTATGAGCATTTCCATTTGACGGTTTAGCAGACCAAGGCACAAAGAAGTAGACAACTTCTGTATGTCTGTACAGCTGGCAGGAGGCAGAACACAGATTTAAAAAGTCCATTTTTCCCTGAGAAGCTGAGGCAGAAAGACCAAATGTTCCAGTCAGCTTGGTCTCAAAATAAAAAGTAGAAAAGGGTGGGGCATGTAGCTCAGTGCAAAGGCCTTGGGTTCCATTTCCAGTATCACTTTCCCCTCCCAAAATAGCTTATTCTTTGTTCTGCACAAGGGAGCTTTATCAAGGCCCCAAATCTCTCAGGACTCAGTTTACTTATCCAGAAAAGAAAATATTGGAGAATAAAATCTCTTAGGCCCTTCCATCTCTAGCAGTGCAAGCACAATCCTCGGTGCTCCCCTCTGTCTCTTGGGGAGCAAGGTCCCCTCCCCGTGCTCACTGTCCTAGTGTCCCTCTGCAGATATGCGCTGGCTACAAATCGCAGTGGCTTGTGTTGGCCGGATGGGAACCACCATCATGTTGCAAATGGTCTGCCTGGTGAACACTGAGCTGTTACCCACCTTTATCAGGTGAGTGCCTGAGGGGAACAGCAGACATGGAAAAAAACATTAAAATGTGTTATATTTATGTATTAATTCTGCTCAATGAATGTAATCATCATGTACTAAAAGAGGAAGAAAGAAAAGCCAATGCCCACCAGGCTCAGTGAGGACCAGTGTTTGCAAGATATTTCCTCTAGATACTGTCAGGGTAGATGAACTGGGCATTGGTGTTGTTAAGGACTTGATCTTGAAGAGGTGGGGCTGGGCATCAAAGAGCTAGGAGAATTGAATTTTGACTATGTGTCTTTAACTAGCACTAACTACTTGTACCAACTTCAGAGGTTCTGTTAACATCCCTGGCCATCATTTTCTTCAACAGCTGACTTTTTGTACAGGGCTAAGCAAAGAGTTTCCATACATGTGATTCAGGTTAGCCTTTAAACTTGATACTGAGAATTACTATCCCTGTTTCACTGAAAGATGAGGTTATTGTTCTGTAATGTAGGGCCTTTCTAAAATACTTTGGTAGAATTACACATAGTACAAAATTTACCATCTTGAACCTTTGTAACATTTCAGGAGTATTAGGTCCACTCGCATTGTATGCCCAGTCTCCAGAACTCCTCTTTTTATCTTGCAAAACAGAAATTCTGCATGTTCATGCATTCAGCAGCCCCTCATTCCTTCCTCCTCACAAGCCCCTCGCAGCCACCATTTTACTTTCTGTCTCTATGACTTTGACTACTCTGAGAACCTCGTGGGTGGAATCATACAATATCTGTCTTTTTGTGACTAGCTTGTTTTATTTATCATGACGTCTTCAAGGCTCGTCTGTGTTGCAGCCTATGACAGAATTCCCTTCTTGTTAAGTCTGAATAATATTCCACTGTGTATACACTGCATTTGTTCAACCACTCATCTGTCTGTGGACATTTGAGTCTCTTCCCACTTTGACTTCATGGACAATGCTACTCTGAACGTGGCTGTACACAGATTTCTTGAAAACTCTGTTTTATTTCAGGTGTATATCCAGCACTGGAATTACTGGATCATATGCTAATTCTATTTTTAATTTTTTTAAGGCGCCTCTGTACTGTTTACCCTAGCAACTGCACCATATTACGTTTCCAACAATGCATCAGAGTTTCAGTCTCTCCACATTCTCATCAACACTTATTTTCTTTTTCTTTCCTCTTTTCATAATAGCCACTCTAATGGGTGTGAAGTATATCTCATTATGGTTTTCACAATTCCTTTATTATTTCTTTCTTTCTCTGGTATGGGGGATCAAACTCAGGACCTTGCCCTCCAGGCAGGTGCAACTCCACTGAGCTAAATCCCCGTCCCGCTACGGTTTTGATTCCTGTAATAATTAGTGATGTTGAGCATCTTTTCATGTTCTTGTAGGACATTTGGGTAACTTCTTTGGAGAAATGTCTAAGAAAAAACTTTCCCATGCTTGTGCTGGGTCATGTGGGTCATTTGTGGTTGTTGTTGAGTTGTAGTACTTTATATATTTTAGATAATAACACCTTATCAGATACAGGATTTGAAAATACTTTTCCTCTATTCTCTTGGTTGCCCTTTCACTCTCTTGTGTGCTTTGACTTGTTGACATTTTAAATTTTTGTGTATTTCAATTTATCTCCTTTTACTTTTGCTGTCTATGTTTTTGGTGCTAAAGAACTAATTTTTTAAAGTCAGGTAGGATGGTGTTAGGGACCTGACGCTGCCATCACAGGCTGCATTCTCCTGGTTCTTCTTGGCTCTTAAAATGACCTCATGTTCTTATCTTTAGTTTCCCTCCCCCCAAGGCCACAGTGTTCTGGAGGAGTTAAACCTAAGTTTCTGCAGGACTGAACCCATAAGAGGCAACCTGGCCTGTGATAGGTTAAAAGTAACTCATTCCTCATAAATAAGCAATAGCCCAGCCCGAAACCAATAAAAAGAACTTCCTCTCTCTCTCTCTCTCTCTCTCTCTCTCTTCCCTCTCTCCTCTTCCTGACCTG